GGGTTAACGCCGCTTTTAACAGTATTCCAGTCATATCGCGGCGTGCCAGCTTAATGTGGGAGGAAAGCCCGAACTGATGCAAGTCTCAGACGTTTACCACTTCGGTGAACCCACGAGCACGGGTATGGTGCTGACAAACCTAGAAACATAATTGGGGCGAACCGGGACTAGAACCCACAATAATAGGTTTCTGGCATGCCCAAGGGACGCAACTCTGCACAGCAAATCGCGACTGGGGCACCCGTGCCCCCTCCAATCTCTAACACAAATGAGTTCTCAGATAGGAACCGTAACTTTATACGATCTGTGACATATTTGAGATAGTTTCGAAAATGTATCTGATCTTAAACTTGAGATATCTTATCTTTGAACGTAAGTTGTTTAGATTAATCGTATCTGAGATCTAACGTAACTAATGTTATATATGGGATAACGCTTTCTTGGTAAAGTACAGATTCTCGTACTTGTTTGGGGTTGAGTCCCGTCTGGGATTCGAACCCACACCGTCAGAGTGAGGCACCAAATCTCCAGCAAACAAATTAGCACGGCTCCCACTTTCTAAATGGCATTGTGTATTCATAGCTTTCTGCCATGGGAGCCGTTTCAATTTACACTTGTCAGAGGGGTACACTAAGTACGTGATCTAGACTACCAGTTGTCGGACTTTCATTTTTGTGGAATCCTCGTTGGCTGAGTGGGTTAGATCGCTGACTTTGTGTGCTGGCGCCTCACTCTGGCGGTGTGGGTTCTAATGAGTTGATCTCTAATGTTTCAGCTCCAGTTATGATGCACCACTTCATTTTATGAGTTGGTCTCGAGTGTTGTAGCTCTAGTTGTGACACGTCACTTCATATAATGAGTTGGTCTCGAGTGTTGTAGCTCTAGTTGTGACAAGTCACTTCACATTATGAGTTGGTCTCGAGTGTTGTAGATCTAGTTGTGACACGTCACTTCATATAATGAGTTGGTCTCGAGTGTTGTAGCTCTAGTTGTGACAAGTCACTTCACATTATGAGTTGGTCTCGAGTGTTGTAGCTCTAGTTGTTACACGTCACTTCATATAATGAGTTGATCTCCAATGTTTCAGCTCCAGTTGAGATATCTCCTGTCTAGGGCCGTGACGGGTAACTCGGGTACTCGGGTCAGGTGGTTCTGAGTAGGACCTGGTTTCCCAATCGGACATTTTGAACCTATCTCTCGAGACCTACAGTGGGTACCCGGGTAGGGTTTGGTAATAAGAGGGTGGGTACCCGTGTAGTAACTTTGGCCTCGTCCCAGCCCTACTCATGTTATAATGCGCTGGTCTCTAATATTTTAGCTTCAGTTGAGATGTACCACTGCCTATAGTATAATGAGATGTTCGTTAATGTTTTAGCTCCAGGTGAGAAGCACCACCTCCTAGTTTAATGTTATGCCCTCTAATGTTTCAGATCCAGTTTAGATGGGCCAAATCCTATTATTATTATGTGTTATTTAATGTTTGAGCTTCAGTTAAGACGCGCCACTTCCTACTATTATGAGCTGTTTTTTTATGATTCGAATCCTGTTGAGACGCATCACTCAGAGGAAGCAGATTATTTTCCCAGACAGAATCATTTCCTTCAATATAATGAGTTGGTCGCTATAGTGTTGTAGCTCCTGTTGTCACACGCCATTTCATATAATGACTTGGTCTCTAATGTTTCAGCTGCAGTTGCGATGCACCACTTCATATAATGAGTTGTTCTCTAATGTTTCAGCCCTAGTTGTGAGCACCACTTCATATAATGAGTTGGTCTGAAATGATTCAGCTCCCCATTCGTATTCTCTCATCATGGTCTTCAGACATATATTCAGCATGTAAACATCATCTAACCACCATCAACCTTCAAGACTTCAAGCTACTGTTATCCAACACCACTAAAGTTCCTTATTCTGCCTGACCCCCTGCCTACTGCCACACTTTTTTCTTATCGATTCATCTTTTTCTGCAGGGGTAAATATACCCCCCGCCCTTCTATCCACATCCAATTTCTCCACCCCGACAATTATGATTTCCCAGGCCTCTCCCCCCACCCAATTACCCCGCCATTCTGGACTAGACCTGGAATCAATCACTCCCTCCCAGCCCATCAGTAAGCACCGCCGCCCCCCCCCCCCCCCCCCCCGAATGTTCCGAGAAGTGGATAAAGTATCACCTTCTGCATTCATGGTGAAGTGTTAGAATGAGTTGCGGGTGCTGTCCACACCCAATGATACCCCAGTTACCGTAGAAAGGCAGTTGTGGTGTCAGCTGAGGTCGTCTGGAAGTCTGATCTCTATAGCACATATACTGGTAGATATTAAAAGCTCTCAGCTTCAGGTTCAAAGGAAGAGATACATTGACTCTGTTGGCCATTATTTAGCACAATATTCAGTGAAAAGATTTCGTGTTATGGACCTCTGTTGTGCATACCCGTTCCGGCAAGTAACTTTTGTAGATTTTATAACGATTTGCGTATAACAACCAAAGGTTCATTGCGAAAACAAAATCAAGACTAGTCTATATTGGAATAAACCACCTCCAGTGACGATGATTTAGTCTTTAATGTTTTAGATCCAGTTCAGACGTGCAAAATCCTAATTTAATGAGTTGGACTGGACTTTCAATGTTTCAGATCCATTTGAGAAACGCCACTTCCTTGTATAAACAGTTGGTCTCTTATATTTCAGCTCCGTTGTCGTGCCACTGCATATGATTAGTCAGTCTCCAGTGTTGTAGCTCCAACTGTGACGCGCCACTTCATGTAATGAGTTCATCTCTAATGTTTCAGCTCCATTTGTGATGCACAGCTTCATATAATGAGTTGGTCTCTAATGTTTCAGCTCCGGTTGAGACGAGCCACTTCATATAATGAGTTGGTCTCTATGGTTTCAGGTCCAGTTGTGACGCGCCACTTCCTATAATGAGTTGTTCTTATATGTTTCAGATCCAGCTGTGACGCGCCACTTCCTATAATGAGTTGTTCTCATATGTTTCAGATCCAGTTGTGACGCGCCACTTCCTATAATGAGTTGTTCTCTAATGTTTCAGATCCAGTGGTGACGCGCCACTTCCTATTATAAGTTGTTCTCATATGTTTCAGATCCAGTTGTGACGCGCCACTTCCTATAATGAGTTGGTCTCTAAGGTTTCAGCTCCAGTTGTGATGCGCCACTTCATATAATGAGTTGGTCTCTAATGTTTGAGCTGCAGATGTGACGCGCCACTTCATATACTGAGTTGGTCTCTAATGTTTCCGCTCAAGTTGTGACACGGCACTTCATATAATGAGGCGATCTGTAATGTTTGAGCTCCTGTTGTTATGCGCCGCTTCATATAATGAGTTGGTCTCTAACGGGATCGGGTGGTCAGGCTCGCTGACTTGGTTGATGCAAGTCATCGTATCCCAATTACGTGGATCGATGCTCATGATGTCAATCACTGGATTGTCTGGTCCAGACTCGATTATTTACAGACCGCCGTCATATAGCTTGAATATTGCTGAGTGCGGCGTTAAACGACAAACAAACAAACAAAACAATATAGAAAGATGGAAACATGCAATTCATTGGTGAAGTTAAACTACTGATCATATGAATCATATCATAGTAGCATCAAGCGAAATAATCTTTTGCTAATTTGGTTGATAAGATTATTTGATCAGAAAAAAATGCTTTATAATACCAGAACACACCGATATATATATCTATGTTATCTCTGTTATATATATTATAGTTTATGTAATGATATTTGATGATGATTGATGACAAGCAATAATTGAATACACTTATGAAATTCAATTCCGATAATGAGTTGAATTTGAATGAAATTGATGCATGTATATGACCTTTAAATTACTTAATTAGCGTCTCTAATGACGGAAAAATTGGTATTAAAAACTACACTATACTCATTTCACTACCATGCACATAGTTCTATACGGCTACTTGACCTGTTTATTTGGCACGCTTGATGATATTATAGGTGGGAATAATTGAATATGAGATTGTATAATGTTAGTGCATTCCTAGCCGGAAGTAAACTTCTTTGGAGAAAGTGTCGTCTGCCACAGCTTGCTGCAGAGACATGAGGCAAAACATTATACAGCCGTCCTCGTCGGGGGTTTGGGGGTGCGGTTTAGAGAGAAGGCTGGGGGAATTATGCATATAATACAAATTTGGTAACTTTTGTTATAATATTGTCGTTAGGTTTTCAGGTTTTGATTGTGGGAACATCAACGCAAACATACATAATACTCCAGAATAGTCTACCACTGTACGCTGCCGGTTACTGACAGCTAGATCAGATAATAAGTAACGTGTAAATATCTTATTTAGGAAGACCCAGAGTGGAGAAATGAAATAAAAACGCATAATTGAATTCAATAGAAAAACACTGGGACATGTATGCTGAAACAGAAAAGTGTACTTAAATATGTACTTAAATATAGGTGGTGAGAGGGGATGGTCGGGAAAATACAGGAAAATAATTCTAGTTCTAGCCTGTTTGGAGAAGATTTGAAAAGAGTTCAATTTAACTATAATCCCCCACTGAAAAGACTTTCTTGGCCTTACGCTATAGTTTACTTTCGAACCAACAGTATTATATGAATGGACATGGTGATATATACCAGCTAGTATGTACTAGACAATTAATGGAACATGTGAATAAGTACAATAATAAGACCCCCCAAAAATGTCGCAAATGCTTTGGGAAAGCCTGTGTTAGTCTGTCTCTGACCCCCGGTTCTAGCAGATAATGGACAGTCTCGCCACAACACAGCTGCTGCTTGAAAGGGGATATACACAATAACACAGTGATGTGGGTCAGCTCACTGACACTTTTTACAGGCACGTGTGCCGATCAGTGGCATAAGCCTTCTACATATGCATAAGAAATCTCCAGAAATAATATTCATATTGACCAGCGTCACGCAGGAATTATTAACTTTCCTTCCCCAGAGATTATGCTACAAACTCAATACAGCGCTATTAACGTACGCCACTTTAGAAGGTTCACTTATCGCTGAGGGGAGCTTGATGTGACCTCTGACCCAAACCGGAACCATGCTGTCATTAACGATCAGAGAGGTTGGCAATGTCATTTTTTATTAATTTATCAGATATCTGCCGCATTAAGCCCAATTTTATACTTTAAGCGTATGCTGATTAGATTTCCCCACGAAAAGGATTTGCTAATTTTGATGTCACTTGTCATTTGGACCAGATTGTTTCGAATGTGGGCTCGACCTGTCGTCAATCTTCTGTAAAAAGCATTTGTATTCCACAGACAGTATTCTCAGATTGTCCCTGCATCTGGTAACATGCGTAAGCACGAATGTGCCGGTGTACGTAGACTAACGCTAAGTCAAACGCTAAGTCAAACGCTAAGTCAAACGCTAAGTCAAACGCAAAATTATATGATTTTGACAAAAACAAACAACTAGTAAAATCTACATATAAAATGAGAAGGAGCCCTGTGAGATCGGAAATACTGAACATCAGGAAAATCTGGCCTTGCTTTATTTAGGACTATAGCATTACAGTTTGGGTTTGGGCAGCAGGGTGTATAATATGGTTCATCGACTGTCAGACACACTACGGTGTATGCATCTTTGGTTTAGAGAAACTATTGAGTCAAATCACGTCTTTATTCCCTTATTATTAGGGCTCTGGCCCAGAGTGTGTGTTATGAGCATAAATATGAATTACATGAAACACCCCTATTACATATGGATACAACTGCCTTTGTGGTCCAGTGGATTGAGCGCCTGCATGGAAGGTTGTGGGTTCAAGATATTAAAAGTTGGTACATGTTACTCTGCCTGGTGCTTGGCAGTAAGAGGCTAAAACAAGGACTGGTCGTCTCAGAGTCAGTATACTGTGTCTGAGTTGGGTATTCAGGTTAAACTGTGGCATGGTAGCTCAGTGGGCAAGCACTATAAACTTGGCATTAGTACAAGCAGCCACTAACACACTCACAGTGCATGCACGTCGCTATATAAGTGCAATAATCTTTAACACGACGTTAAACCCCATTTCACCTCACCTCCCATATGGACGCAAAGACCTTCAATCAAAACATGCAAAAAGGCACCACGCAGTAGTCAGTTATCTCCCTTTGACTGTTGACATGGTTAAGACTGAGTTATAGAGAAAATGTGAGTTGGGAGTAACCAGATGTGATTCACTTGAATGAATGTTTGGTAGGACTACACATGCTGTGTATTTACTGAAGTAGAGAAGCTAAACAACATACATAGCGATCTTCTTCATCTGTAGGTACTTGGGGACAATAAAAAGATGTGTGGCAAGATATGATACAACCAGACACCATATAATAGAGGGACGACCCTCTAGTTTATGCCCAAAACCATCAGTGCTGCAGCTTGCACTGTGCAGCCTGTCCGGAAGCGAGCAGAAACGCGTTCACTGCAGTCATCGTGGTCGCCTAGTTTTCCCATGCAACATGCTTGTCGTAAGAGGTGACTAACGGAATCAGGTGGTCAGGTCGCTGATTTGGTTGATGCATGTCATCGGTCCAATTGCGTGGATTGATGTTCATGATGTCAATCACTGGATAGTCTGGTCCAGACTCGATTATTTACAGACCGCCGTCATATAGTTTGAATACTGCTGAGTGCAGCGTTAAACAACAAACAAACACACATTCCTAAGACGAATCTCACTGTTCCTATAAACAATACTCTGAATAAAATGGTCATGCCTTTGGTAAAGACAGAGTCCATTATGCCCATGCTCAAGTTTTGATTGCCATTATTCAGATTCTCACACATTTGAAAGATGGAAGGATCTCTGCCAAAGATTTATGTGAAAAATGCCTGGAGCGATCACACCAAGCAAAGGAGCTCAACTTCCTCATCAGTGAAACCAGGGAGCTGGCTCAGATGTCTGCTGCAGACTCGGACAACAGACTGGACAAAAGTAAAAACATAATGAAATGAATTGAGCCTATTCCATGCTTTCCTGTTACAGGCTGATAATTTTGCATTGCAAGGCCTGTCCTGAATAGTCTTTGAGCATGTGTTTATGAATCACTATCAAATAGTAATGATACCAGGTGTTCGCAAAAGGTGAGTGTATCCTGCCCCACCGGTGGCACCCGTCACAAACACATGCAAAGGCAAGTCAATTGTTAACCCCAAAACTATGTAAACATATGGTACAAGTCAAAATAGGCAATTGCATCAGACTTCATTTTTGTCAATAAGAAAATTTGTGTAGAAGCTACTTCTGGTCTCTCCTTGAAAAATCAAATGCTCCCATTTGAGTCTTACATGCCTGAAACCGTAACAAATTGAACAGAGTCACATAAAGTCTACCTCATTTTCATAAACAAATTGCAGGCTTGTGTTTGTCAGGTCATATGTGATATGATGGCCGTTTGGCATGGGAAAAAACTTTAATTTTGGGAAGCTTGCCTTGAAAAGACCTTTAAGATATTGTGTCTGAAATTCTGTACAAACCATGTGTCATCTTATGACATTAGTCTTTGTGAGGAATTCAAAATTCCTGAAAACCAAGAATTTTGAACAAGATCACGTGAATGCAAGACTTGCCCATTCCACAAACCATTCTCCACAAAGCCCTAATATAATGGAGTGATAACATAGCTGAGTGGATTGATGACCTCGTAGAGACCTTAGAACTTAGACCTTGTGGTTCCGGTGTTCATCTCTTGTCATGTTCATCTCTTGCCCGGCTCCGGACTCATTTATTTACATACTGCCGTCATGTATGTGCGAGTACCGGCACATGTCTTGCAGTCCGACTTCGCAGTGTTTTTTGCCTTTCACTTCCTGGTTCGTCTTATCTGCAGGTTATATCATTTTCTCTCGTATTTCAATGGTCAAGTTAGCACCTCGGCTTATCTACGGGGTCGGCTTTTCCGCGGTCATATATGGTAGTTGGAATATTGCTGAGTTTGGCATTAAAAAACAAACAAACAAACAAACAAGATATTATCTGAATATGTACAACAGATCATGGAGCGTAGGCCCCATGTTAGAAGAAGTACCTGTCATCTTTATCATCTTCATCAGTTGTGCATCCTCGATGATGCAGTGTGTAATATCTCCATTCTATTATGATAAAAACCCTGGGCCCATTCACCACCACAGCCATGTTTCAGAGTGAGTGAGTGAGTGACGTCCCCATCTCCATCACGCTTATCACTAACTCGGCAGAACATCTTGTGTTAACGGGCTTGAAATCAACAACCAATCAAAATTCCTCCTCTGAATGCGAGCTCGGCATGATCCCCATTCCAAATCACAACCTTGCATTTGTCCTCCTTTGAAATATTTTATCGAATCGGAAAGTATCGAAAGTAAAGTGTAACTTGACTGGATGACTAATTTTAGAGCTGCGCAGAGCTACAGATAAGCAGTGTATTAAGGAAAAATACCCCAGAAAAATATTCTAAACCCAATAACTTTCAATTAAATTGCATACAGAAACGCATGCATTAAATGAAAAACTATATATCCAATAAAGCTTTTTCAGCAGGCATGCAAAGGAAATAATTTCCGAAACACAATTACGAGCTAATTTACTTTCCAAGTCAAGCCTATATATTTAGAACATTATTTCATTTTTTTTAAATCTTAAAATGTTCTCTAATTTTTTGAAAAACCCAAAAGAGTGATAAATAAATGAGTGAAAAAATATTGGTTACCCAATGAAAAATGTAATAACCCAATTAAAATAGAAACCCTAGAGTAAAAAAACTCAATTGCTCAAAAAGTTATCTGGAGCTCTGGCTGTGATACTCGAACCAGTCTCAGATGAAGCGATGGCGGAGAATGGCTCCAGGGTGTTTATCACAATGGAGATGTGATACTCTGGATAATCCAGGATGTTTTTTGTGTAAATTGATTTTCTGTAAATACAACTCATCCAATATGCAGAATCTTGAACCGGGGTGTACCCGATATGAGTACAATGTGTGAAGCCCATTTCTGGTTCCCTCTGCCATGATATCGCTTGAATATTAGCATACTAGCATACTAGCACACTCACTCACTCACTCACTCACTCACTCACTCACTCACTCACTCACTCGCTCGCTCGTACTTTAATTGAAAGAAAGCCTTTGTTTTATTCTGATTGACCATACTTTCAGAACTGCCACCTCGTAACCTGGAGGGTGTGCCAATGGTTTTCAAGGACAACTACTGTATGAAGGGCATCCCGACTACGTGTGCATCTCGAATGTTGTCCAACTTTTCACCGCCTTACAATGCTACTATGGTGCAGCGGACAACAGCGGCGGGAGCTGTCATCGTCGGTAAAGCCAACATGGACGAGTTTGCCATGGGGTAATACAATCAGCGTCTTCTCGAAAAAGAACCTCTGTCAATATCAGTCCTAGAAAGTATGGTACAAATCTTTGAAAACCGTCAGACCCACCTTGCGCGAACTATGACCGACCAATGGAATGAGTCACAAGAAGTCGACATTAGCCAATCAGAAGGCAGCTTTCTTGTGCTTTACGACACTAATTTCAAATTGGCGACTATGCTTCTAAACATATTTTGACAAATTCTCGATTAAAAATTTGAAACTCTAACAAAAGAACATTCTGGAATGGCTAATAGATGGTCTAGATTGTATGGATTCAGTCGTTAAGCCCGTAACTATTGTTCGGAATACCCCGTGTTAACATTTTCGAGGTTGCATGATTTGAAATCACATTCCGACTGTCACTTTCCTGATCTGGTAAGCGACACTCTGATTGGTCGAATGAAAGGTCGTTCTGACATGACCCATAATGGGATGTCCTCAGATCGAGAACTAAGATCTGATTTTAATGAGATTTGATTGAAAACTGACTTTGTATACTAACTCACAGATGTGTATCATTCTAGCAGTAATGATGATACTAATTGAAAAGACTATAGTGATTTTGTACACAAATGACAATGTTTGCTGCTATGTGGGGAGTAGACACTGGGTAAGGAGATCAGTCTTGTATGTGGTAGACAGTTGAAACAAAGGATGCAGATGAAAGATTAGACAGGGGAAAAGTTGACTTACAGATGTTGACTTACAGATGTTGACTTACAGATGTTGACTTACAGATGTAGACATACAGATGTTGACTTACAGATGTTGACATAAAGATGTTGACATACAGATGTTGACTTACAGATGTTGACTTGCAGATGTTGACATACAGATGTTGACATACAGATGTTGACTTTCAGATGTTGACATACAGATGTTGACTTACAGATGTTGACTTGCAGATGTTGACATACTGATGTTGACTTAAAGATGTTGACATACAGATGTTGACTTGCAGATGTTGACATAAAGATGTTGACTTACAGATGTTGACATAGAGATGTTGACTTACAGATGTTGACTTACAGATGTTGACATACAGATGTTGACTTACAGATGTTGACTTACAGATGTTGACTTACAGATGTTGACTTACAGATGTTGACATACAGATGTTGACTTACAGAAGTTGACTTACAGATGTTGACTTACAGATGTTGACATACAGATGTTGACTTACAGATGTTGACTTACAGATGTTGACTTACAGATGTTGACTTGCAGAGTTTTTGAGTATGTTGAGCTGTTTTTCACTTATCTTGTTTTGTTTAATAGATGTTTATTAATATTCCTCCCACCACTCACTCACTCACTCTGTGTTCAGGTCAGCCAATGTGGACAGTGTGGCTGGACCGGTCATCAACCCTTGGAAGTACAAGTTCAGAAAGAGGCATGGCAACGAGAGACATCACAGGAGGAACAACCAATCAAAAGACTCTGCCGGTGACCATGTGACCAGTTCCTCATCATCTGATTGGTTCATTGCTGGAGGGAGTTCTGGGGGCAGTGCAGTTGCGGTTGCTGTTGGAGCATGTTATGCGTACGTAAAATGAAATAATTTTGAGAAATTGTTTTCAATGAGTAATTAGGTGAATATCCTTCTGATGAATACAGGGGGGATATTTTTTATTAATATTTAGTTACAGGGGGGATATTTGTTAATTTAGTTATATAGCAGGATAAAACATTCAGGTTTGAAAATGGTTGGATGTACATTTTGAAACCTTGTTTGATATTTGAGTGGGAAATAACTAAATACTGGCAGGACATGAGAAACTCCAAACAGACGGCCTGAAAGCAATGTATGGAGTTCCCATTGGTTTAAGGACCGCAGATTACTTTGACAAGTTGCCTCCCTTAGTTGTGCCGGGATCCACTGTTTCGGGGTTATGATGAGATTGGCTCTTGTTATGAAAGATCATTGATGTTCTGCTATATTATGACGCCTGGGTGATGGATTATCTCCCTTTGACCAGGATAAACAGATACCTGGTATATATCCTGCGGTCAGTGCTGTGTCGTGGGTTTCACAGAAGTGATAAACGTCTGCATTGTGTATTTCTTCCTCTCTAATCAATCTGACACACTTCAAAATTATTACTTCATTTCTAACGTTTGTCATATATCGTGTACTGGTGACTATTTATGACCCAAAGGCTGCCCATGCACTATCCACCTTTGTTGTACAAAAGGAAATGAAATTTGTATATATTTTTTTAATATTATTTTCATGTATTTATATGTTCTGGTTTTTGTGTGCAAAGTTTTAAATTTAGATCTTGTTTTGACTATGCTCTTAAATTCTCTCCAACAACATATTTGGGGTTAGAATAGGTCTTCAGCAACCCATACTTGCCGTAAAAGGCGACTTTGCTTGTTATAAATGATGACTAATGGGATCTGGTGGTTAGGCTCGCTGACTTGGTCGATACATAACATCGTATCCCCATTGCATGGATTGATGCTCATGATGTCAGTCACTGGATTGTCTGGTCCAGACTTGATTATTTATAGACCGCTGTTATATAGCTGGAATATTGCTGAGTGAGGTGTTTAACAACAAGCAAAAGTTTATGCAGCTAGCAATTAGGTTTCCATGTCAACATGCACTTGGTGCAAGTTAAATCAAATTCCTTAAATCTGAATTTCCTTAAACAATCGATCAAATAAAATTCCACCAAAAAATTAATTTCAAAATAGTCATGAAATTGATGTTTTCCATGTATTTGTGTGTATGAAACCAGAGTAGAAGATCTGATTTGTAAAATGTGTTTAAGAGGTGATGGGGTAGCCTAGTGGATAAAGTGTTCGCACTTCACGCCGAAGACCTGGGTTCGATTCCTGACATGGGTACAGTGTGTGAAGCCCATTTCTGGTGTCCCCGGCTGTGACATTGCTGGAATATTGCTAAAAGCGGCGTAAAACCAAACTCACTCAACTCAAAAGTGTTTGATGTTGACTAAGTTATAATGAGACTGGTACACTTATTCATGTATCGTTTATTATCCAGTGCCTTTTCTTCTGACACTGGAGGATCGACACGTAACCCGGCCTCGTACTGTGGTGTGGTTGGACTGAAGCCAACATATGGGCTGACGTCCAGACATGGCCTCATCCCGCTGGTCAACTCCATGGATGTCCCCGGCATCGTCACCAGGACGGTGGACGATGCAGCTACAGTTCTAAGTATGGGAGATTGTGATGTCCTACTTACGTCTGATGTTGGGAAACTGTGCTTTTTTCTCTGTCTTCATCTTCTCAAGGGGCGGTGGGGTAGCCTAGTGGTTAAAGCATTCACTCATCACGTCTAAGACCCGGGTTCGAATTCTTGCATGGATTCGATGTGTGAAGCCCATTTTCCGCTGTACCCTTCTATGATATTGCTGGAATATTGTGAAAAGCGTTGTAAAACCATACTCACTCATCTTCTCAAGGCAAGAGTGTCCACTAGCCTTTTTCAAAGTCAAGTTGAAGTTTTCAACTACCGATAGACTTTGATATAAGCTAGTGGACACTCTTGCCTTGGGAAGATGCTTTATGTAAGACTGTTAACCTGGACTTTTGTTTGTTTGTTTGTTTGACGCCAAACTCGGCGATATACCAGCTGTATGATAGTGTCTTTTAAATTATCTTGCCTGGACAATCAAGTTTTTGATATTGTGAGCAAGAATCCACACTGTCGAGTACGATCAACCAGAATATGTACATGAGTATCCTGTAACCTGCATGTTCGGATATCGCTGACTGGGCCCCCAGTACAGTGCTATCACACGATGAATATCTCTTGGATGGCATTGTGTATTTTGTATTAATCAATGATAAATGTCAACCCGATTTTTATTTTATTTTCCAAGTTAGTAATTATTGTATCCTGTGTTGTAGATGTAGTGGCTGGTCATGACGTTCACGACTCCACCACCGTACGTGACCACTTTGACCCGGTCAGTCTGTCCACTGAGTTCTCAGTCAAGGGACTACATGTTGGCATTCCAAAGGTAAGTAAACTTGAAATGAAATCTATGGCCTACCTGTTTATTTTGTTTTTTTCCTGCATTTCCAATATGAAACCTCTTACTAAGCTCAACTTTTGGTATGAGATCTCAGAAATCCTGTCAAAATCTTCTTATCCAACTTTAAACATGGCAAGGCCACCATGGCGGCCATTTTGAAAATGTCAGTTTTGCTTATTACAGAGATATTTCCGTGGAGATGCTTTGCTGTACTGAAGCTTCTGTTACTATTATTTGCATGTTTTTGTTAACCTTTCACTATCCTCCCTGTTGCATCAGTGAAGGAGGTGCTTGTTGAGAAAGGCCACCTCATCATGACCAGGGTATACTTGAATTAAGGCCCCAAAAGTCCATTCTTTCACAACTGTTGTCAGAACCTATGTGGGCGAGTGAATGTTGTTTAATGCCACCGACAGCAATATTCCAGCTGTATCAAGGCAGCCTGTAAATCTGGACAAGGCAAACCAGCGTATGAAAGCACAAGAACGATCCACACCATCGGTGGACTGTGACACACTCTCAGCCGAAGTCACAGATCATCTGGAATACCTTCGTCAGCCCTTATAACAAGGAATGGCTACTGGGAAACTATTGTTTCACCAGGAGTCCCAAATGTTCTTACTATTATTATAGCTCTCTTTTTTTAGTTCTTAATGCTAGCCCAAATTATTTGCTTAACATTGATTTATTCTACCTCCCCACCCCCACCCCCAGTTCTGAAGACATGTTGAAGTGTACAAGTCTAGGGATGGAAACACCTGATTTTGATTGCTGTACATGCAAGATTGCCAATATTATTTTTATGTTCTGTGTTATATTCTAGCAACATTGATATTTACTACCAGTTTCAATATGGAATCCCCCTAAAGATCCTGGTCAGAATAGGTCTTCAGCAACCCCTGCTTGATGTCACAGGTGACAATGCTTGTCGTGAGAGGCGATTAACGGGGTTGGGTGGTCAGGCTCGCTGACTTGGTTGATGCACGGTCATTGTATCCCAATTGTGAAGATTGCTGCTCATGATGTCAATCATCCAAACTCGATTTACAGACCGCTGTCATATAGCTGGAATATTGCTGAGTGCGGAGTTTAATAAACATCTAACAAACAAACAAAACAATACAGAAAGATGGAAACATGCAATTCATTGGTGAAGTCACAGGTGAAGTTCTGTGTTTTCTAGGAATATTTCGCCCCTGGTACATCACCAGATGTAGTGTTGGCATGGCGACGGGCAGCAGACATGTTGGAGAGGGCGGGTGCCCGGGTGACAGAGGTGTCCCTCCCCCACACACAGTACTCCATCATCTGCTACAACGTCCTCTGCTGCTGCGAGGTGGCCTCCAACATGGCTCGCTACGACGGGATAGAATATGGTAATATTTGTGGCTGAAACAAGGCCATTGTCCAGTGAATAGTATCTCCATTCTATTGTGTTACCCTAGCTGGACCCAATTGCCACCATTTTGATTTGAATGAGTCCTGTTCACATGATGGGTTGCTAAAATTAGCCATTCAATCAAATTACACGGGTCACTCATGATTGCAATAAGCAGTGATATCATCAGTACTCGACTCACCTTGCAGTGTCGTAGCCAGCCGTGGGGGCAGGGGGGGAGCAGTTGCCCCCCTGGATTTTTTTTATAGAAAACAGTTTTATTTGAATCATGAAAATACACGTTGGGGACAAGTGGTACTTGTACAAAAATTTGCACCCCCCCCCCCCCCGTCAAAAAAAAGTTAACTACGGCCTTGCCTTGTGTACCATCTCAGATACAACAGGGATCCTGGGATAGGAACATAGGATAACATCTTTTCCAGAATGGATTTGATTGAATATACTGAGAGCTCACAGACAAGAAGCTACCATTTTGAATGTTAGTATATGCTCACGTTCAGAAAAGGCATTTTGATTGGTTGTTGATTTCAAGCTCATGAGCTGGAAGTGTCTGTGCTAGATTAATGATAAGGGAGATCGAAGCCTCGCTACAGTGGCGAATGGGTCCAGGGTATGTATCATAGGATGGAGATATATTACCCTGTATTATTGAGGATGGAACAAGGCATCATTAAGGATGGGGGTGGTATGTGTTTGTGTGTCCTATGATTCTATGAATCTTGTCACCATTTTTGGAGACTTAACAATGTCGCTAAAGAACTCCCAACACACGACAGTTTGAGTTATAGCGCAATTAAAATAAAGTGATGTTGACAAGAATCATATTGAAATCGTCAAAGACAGGGCGTTATATGTCCAACAAAACGTGAATTAATTCCTAGTTTACTACAGTTCGCATAAGGCTTATGGTAAAATTGAATGAGAGTAGAGCGGAAACGTTCTTATAACAGTGACATCGCTGCATTCATGAAGTCCTATCACAATCATGCCATCGATGGAATGTCGCCACACTTTACAACATGGGGAATTAAACAAAGAAGTAGGGTAACATGTAGAAATTGGGATGTTTTCTTATGGATGAACATTTTGTTCATATGTGGTTAATGTGTTTATAAAAGTTAAATACTAATAATTATAACTGTAAAGATGATGAGTGATTTTTTTCTCTATAGTAAGTAAGAGGTGACTAACAGGATCGTGTGGTCAGACTCGCTGACTTGGTTGATGCATGTTATTGTATTCCAATTGTGTAATTGATGCTCATGATGTCAATCACTGGATTGTCTCGTCCAGACCTATGGATGCCGTGATATAGCTGGAATGTTGCTGAGTGCGGCGTTAAACAACAAACAAACAAACAAATCTCTATGGTAATGTTTATTCAATAAGGGCGTCTAGTGCAACAGAATGCACACCAGCCTCTTTCTATGTTGCAGGTTTGCGAGCCCCCGTTGATGATTCAACTGAAGAACTGTACGCCCAAAGTCGGCGCGAGGGTTTCAACTATGTAGTCCGGTCAAGAATCCTCAGTGGAAACTGGTTTCTTCTGAAGAGGTGACATGACATGACATGTATGCTTGACTGTGATGTATGCTTGACTGTGATGTATGCATGATTGTGATGTATGCTTGACTGTGGTGTATGCTTGATTGTGATGTATGCTTGATTGTGATGTATGCTTGATTGTGATGTATGCTTGATTGTGATGTATGCTTGGGTCACTGACAGGCATTTAGAACCCTTTTACTTTCTGTATGTATGTGTTGTGGGTTGGAAGCAACATGATGTTATATTTCAATGCCTGGTTTCAGAAACTACGAGGACTACTTCATCAAGGCCCAGAGAGTGAGGAGGCTCATCAGTGATGACTTCCAGAAAGTGTTTGCCAGTGGTGTCGATGTCCTGTTGACTCCAACAACGCTCGGTGATGCTCCTCTGTTCCGTGACTATGTCAGCGAGGACAACAGAACTCGCACGGAGCAGCATGACGTGTACACTCAGTCAGCCAACATGGCAGGTAGGTGGCCATGATAGTTCAAAGGATATGGCAGTTTTGACACAGTTTTATCTAGGATTGAGACAGTTTTGCTGTTTGTAGGGCAGGGGAAGCTTTGTGGCAGCTATGTGGCAAGTGGTGGCACGTGGGCCCAGTGTACAGCACACGGGTCACAAACCAGGTGAAATTAAGCAACGTTGATCACCGAGAGTCCTTGGATGGGTGAACATATTTGGCAGCTTGGCTCCTGAGAGTATCTAGGGCTTCGGTCCTGCCCCACACTGAAGCACATGTAACACATGTGGTGTCTCCTTTGGCAAATGACTTTATTTGAAATGTGCCTCTGTTCATTAAGCAGTGAATGGGTACCCGGTAGGATGAGATGGCAAAGTAGCTGTTAACCTTCTCACAGGTTACTTGGGTTGTATACTCCCCAGGGAGCTTAGAATGAAAGTTGAACGCGCACTGATCCATTGACTGGGGTATTAATAAACTTTGAGCATGATATTCAATATGTAAAAAGTGCCATACAATGGACTATTTTTATTATATAATTCATTATGCAGAACTGTGGCAGGCTTTGTGTTGGAGTGGGATGTCCTTGGATGTTTTTGAAAAAAATAATTTATTCCTAACAAAACATTTGTCCTCTCATTTTTACTCTTCCCAGAAAATATATTGTTTGGCTCCTTCTTTATATGTAAAAAAAGATTCTTTTCCCAACAAATATCTAAGGTCTTGACCTGATTATGAAATGGTGCATGCCTCACCACAGGTCTGTTTGTGTCAGTATACCAGAGTTGTCTCCCCTTCCAGGTATTCCCGCGGTCAGTGTCCCGGCCTGCTTGTCCACACAAGGACTTCCAATCGGACTCCAATTCATCGGAAACCATTTTCAGGAACAGAAACTCTTGTCAGTGGCCCAGTGGTTTGAGCAGCAGGTGAACTTTCCTAGTTTGAATCTCGATCATCTGGACGCTGAATCCCCTACAGTAGCTTTAGAACAAGGCCTGTGATTAACATGCAGTACGATTTGGTTTGGTTTGTTGTTTTACGCCGCCGCAATATTCCAGCTATATGACGGTTGTCTGTAAATAATCAAGTCTGGACCAGACAATCCAGTGATTTACATCATGAACATCAATCCACGCAATTGGGATCGATGAAATGCATCAACCAAGTCAGCGAGCCTGACCACCCGATCCCGTTAGTCGCCTCTTACGACAAGCATAGTCACCTTTTACGGCAAGCATGGGTTGCTGAAGACCTATTCTACCCCGGATCTTCATGGGTCACATGCAGTACGAGAGTGAATGTGATATATGTGTGTGGTGTTCTTATAGATGCACAATATTAGTCACTTATTTATGTGCTTATGTTTTTTTGTTTTTGATAGATTGGTACATTTTTATTTAGCAATTGAAGCCAGTTAGGTCACAATAGATATATTATTTATATATTCATCCAGCCGATATCACTTTAGTCTTCCTTACAGACTTCAGAGCAATTTCTTTTAAAATAAAAATGATATTCACTCCCATCCCCTCTTTAGCTCTAAGTTAAGGACTTGAATACTTGTGAGTTTCCTTGCAGAATGATATTTATTTGACCCAATACATCACTCTATTCAGGGACCATCTTCCCGAGGCAAGGGCGTTAACTGACTGTATAAGTCCAGTTCTTTACTTTAAACATACATGACACACGTCCACCTACAAATATTCATGCTTCATGTAAATCACATTAATGGACAGTAAATCATGTTAATGTACACAGATTCTTGTAACTTTTGTTTTCCCAAAATATATGTGAAAAATAAGATTCCTCCTGCCTCGCATTTTGAAACAAGAACGGATGAAAATCTAATAATTGCTTTATTGCGGCCTTAGTGAAAGGCAAGCCAAGTGAATAGTCCTTATTCACACATATGGGGTGGTGGGGTAGTCTCGTGGTTCCAGTGTTATGTTTTCACGCTGAAGTCCGGGTTCGATTCCCACATGGGTACAGTGTGTGAAGTTCATTAATGGTGTTCCCTCTCGCGGTGATATTACAACAACTTCTCTGACAATTCACGTCATATGGAGTTGTAGGAATAATCTCAGAGAATACTCTCTAAGACTTGTTCACAGAATTCTGATCCAGTTTTTGACAACAAAGGACATATTGACAATGTTATTTTTGTCCATAAATCATCCATTTATGTTCCATTATAAAATGTAATATGCATGAAGTATGTGGTTTTCGTAATTACATATTGTATGTTTTGATCCAGTAAGTGAGTGAGTGAGTATGGTTTTACGCCCCTTTTAGCAATATTCCTGCAATATAACGGCGGGGGACACCGGAAATGGGCTTCACACATTATACCCATGTCAGGAAAAGAACCTGGGTCTTCTGCGTCACGAGCGAACGCTTTAACCACTCGGCTACCCGACCGCCCCTGATCCAGTAAGACCTACGACTTTCAGTGTTGTTCTAGTGTTACTGCATGTTTTACATTTAAAACTACAATGCCTTAGAATCATGAGTGAAACGAGAGTGCCGCTAAAATTGTGCATTTGGAATTCTGATCCGATTATAAACATATTTGCAGCGATCATATTTAGAAACAGCCCATTATGGCTATTGATTGGATATCTTCTTTCAAATTGCATTGAGATTTGTGTTGCAATATAATTAAATTTGATTTGCAATGTTATGAATTTTGACCTTGATTCAAGGCTACAAGCTATATAGCCTAATAGTTTGTGTAGCCAAAGGGAAAATGGTGTCATGGGCAATATGTAAGGCCCCACTGCACACTAGCCTACTATGTTTCATAATAATATCTCTTTACATTTGGGAGCAATGGAAAAAAGTAGGTTTTCAAAAGGAAACGGTTGCAGCTACATTAGGAGAGGTTGTTGCTTGGATGGTATAGGAGAAAATAGCAAAAGAAGTTTAAGCAGGCAACTGTCCATGGTCAGCTGGCTAGTATTCTTTATAATCAAACCAAAGCCACCATTGCTTGGACCTGGATGCAAGGACCTGCAGCACTTCAATCAGTGGTCCCTTTGGTGATGGACTGATGGTCTACTTTCTGTTTGTAGTTTAACGCCACACTCAGCAGTATTCCATCTATATGATGGCGGTCTGTAAATAATCGATATCATATCGATAATTGATATCATGAGCATCGATCTACTCAATTGGGATACGCTGACATGCATCAACTAAGTCAGCGAGACTGACCACCCGATCCTGTTAATCTCCTCTTGCAAAAACTGGAGCTGTAGCTGCAGGAATATTGCGCAACATAAAGGGAAATTTGACTTTTGGAAAGTTAAAGTCGTCCCTCTTGTCGTGGAGTCCCTATCCCGTTAGTCGCCTCTTATGACAAGCATAGTCAACTGTTACAGCAAGCATGGGTTGCTGATGACCTATTCTAACGTGGATCTTCAGGGGTATGATGGACTACTTTAAAGCTATCTCACCGTATCTCATCTTGTTCTTGAGAACCTCTTGGCAGAGGGCTGTAACCTTGTGTGAATGCAATGACCAAGAGAGGGTCCAAGTTTGTCGAAGACATCACTATTTGTACTCAACATCGTTGTCCTAAACGATGTTGCAAAAATGGTTTTTCTTTTCCTTTGCAACGAATTCTTTCAAAGTACTATAATAAAGATATGTGTACCAAAATAGTTTGAAGTGTAATGACCTGATAAGTCAGGAGAACTAAATAGCCTTGTGGCTCTATTTTTTCTTCCGTAGAGTACAATTTTGCACCCTGTTTTTGTGTCCAGTGTTATTGATTGAGGAAGGCAGTGTAGTATACACGAAGTCATAGTCTTGTTTAACCACAGAAAAAGCCTAGTCGCTACCGGGACTGTCCTACAAAGCGATGTTTATCGTAAGTATGTGTTTGATGTACTTGAGTTACAGTCACCATAGCCATAAGATCGTTGTTAGGATGTGATCAGCCTCGTTAAACAACATGCAAACAAAAGTTTGTACCCTGGCCTTGGAGGTTGTTCCTGCTTCCACTAACAGGGTTGTCGGGGCCAGACTCGAGCATTTATAGATCGCTATCATATTGTTTGTGGCCCAGTCGTCTAAGACGCCACAATTCGTTGTGCAGAGTTAGCTCCCTTAGCAGTGCTACAATCCTTGATCTTGGGAAGAATCTATCAGTGTTGGTATGTTGGTATGTTTCACCAAAGTGGTAAACGTCTCAGATTTGTATAATTTCAGACTTTACTCCACTATTAACCAGTGTCAGAAATTGAATGTACCGTCATGATTCGGGCACAAGCTCCTTCCCAGCGCGTGGGACCCGTGAAAATTCCGGGGTAGAATAGGTCTTCAGCAACCCATGCTTGCCGTAAAAGGTGACTATGCTTGTCGTAAAAGGCGACTAACGGGATCGGGTGGTCAGGCTCGCTGACTTGGTTGATGCATGTCATCGATCCCAATTGGTTGGATCGATGCTCATGATATCAATCACTGGATTGTCTGGTCCAGACTCGATTATTTACAGACCGCCGTCATATAGCTGGAATATTGCTGAGTTCGGCGTTTAACAACAAACCAACCAACCAACCAACCAATCCCAGCGCGTGACACCTTCCTTACACTCGTGGTAAAGAGAGCTCCGCGAACGGCCTATCGCTGTGAGGAACTTGGATTCTGGCACCCCCAAGGGAGGCAGCTCTGCACAGCTATACTATAGAAACATTCATTCACACATTATTAAAGACAACAGAAGTTTCATATACAAATAGAATGTTTTATTCCAGATAATTATGGGATGCGGCAAATGTATACATACAAATAAAACTGAAACACATCACATTACTTGTACAAAGGAGACGCAATTTGCATACTGATGAATGATTGGCTACAGATAGTTTTCTTACATTGAACGACTACCAAATATGGAAATGAGTTATGTTTCAATTTTTATACCGAAATGAGAGAAGCAAGAATGTCAGTGGTCACTAGAAGAGCAAGTAGGACCCGGATGGCAGGGGAGTGGCAGTGGATGGAACAGCAAGATGGCAGCCGCATTCTTCCACAACAGGCCCCTTGTAAGCACTCTGAAAAAATAGAACACATAATTATTGATTTGTTTGAGTGGGTTTGCTTTAACACTGCTTTGAACAAGATTTCAGTTACATCACAGCGTGCCAGCCTTATGTGGGAGGAAAGCCCGAAGTGATGCTGGTTTTAGACCCATCAGCACAGGTACAGTTTGGATAAAGCAAGAAACGTAATCATGACGAACCGGGATTTAAACCCATGATCATCAGTTTCTGACACGCCTAAGGGAGACAACTGTGTTGCAACATATACTCAAAGACAGAATTAACGCTGTTCACCTTATTTAGTATAGTGCGATTTTTAGAATCACATAACACAACAATCTTTTGATACTTCCAACTACACCATGTTGTTGAGATATATTCAGAGGGTCATTGTGGAGAGTGAATGTTTTTTTTTTATGTTTAAAACACTGTACTCCACAATAGTCCAGCGGCCTGTAATAATCGAATATGGACCAGACAATCCAGTGATTGACATCATGAACATCGATCCACGCAAATTGGGAAACGATGACATGCATCAACCAAGTCAGCGAACCTGATCCACCCAATCCCGTGAGTCGCCTCTTACGACAAGCATTTACGGCAACCACGGGTTGCTGAAGACCTATTCTACCCTGGATCTTCACGGGTGGAGAGTGAGTGAATGTTATTTTATGCAGTCAGTAGTATTCCAACAGTGCATATTCGAGTCTGGGTCAGGCAGGGAAGTTGTTTGGGGCTTACACCATTCCTTCACTCTTTCAAATAATCTAATTCCTCTTGGCTTATTCTCTGAAATTCTGAGTGTGTGGCGTCATTAAAGCTACCCTATTCTGTCTTGACAAATGGTTTGTCATTAACGCAATTAGAATGTTAGACAAGGTTCTTACCCTTCCTCGTATAATTGTGATCCATTGTCCGTTAACATTTTAACGATCCCGTTTGAAAATTTACAAAGTAGTCTTCGTTCAAAGCAAACTACGTAACACCACCAGTACCTGACGTCATTAATACAAACAGTGACGTAATTCTAAAATTCTCCGACCAGAAGTTCCTTTGAGGAAGTACATAAAGCACCGTTCTCATCATCAGATAAAGATGGCCATGCCGCCAAGGTCTATTTCCGTCTATGTCTAGACGTTGTAATTAGTAACCTATGTGAATCTGAGACGACGTCTATGTGATTAGGGAAAGCAGTCTTTGCCAGTTGGAACTAGAGCATGTAACTTGAGTTCCGCAGACGAATTAATTGTCAGCGTTTCGACCCCCGGCCGTGCCACACCAAAAGACGTTAAAATATAGTATATGTTAACCTACCTGTCGCTCAGCATTCTGAGGATAAGGACAAGGACTCGCACGCACACGCACACGCACACGCACACGAATTTTCCAGCTATATGACGGCGTTCTGTAAATAATCGAGTTTGGACCAGCCAGTCAGTGATCGATATCATGAGCATCGATCCACGCAATTGGGATACGATGACATGCATCAACCAAGTCAGCGAGCCTGACCACCCGATCCGTTAGTCGCCTCTTACGGCAAGCATAGCCGCCTTTCATAGCAAGCATTGGTTGCTGCAGACCTATTCTACCACGGATCTTCACGGTCCGAGCTTTGATAGGCCCCCATGGCCAGCGACCTGTGTTTGTCGTACTGGGCGAATACATGGGTCGGGTTGTCAGTATCGGTGGCATGGTTGATTGCGTGCCTTGACGGCGCGAGACATTACTCATACTATCAATCACTGGTTTGTCTGGTTCCCACTTGATTATTTACAGGCCGTCGTCATATAGCTGAGTATGTGGAATATGGAATATTGATGAGTGCGACGTTAAACAACAAACAAATAAAGAATCTGAATTGCCTTAAAGGAGGGCTACCATCGGGAAAATTAGCAGCCCTAGCAAGTTTGATTCAAGTCTTTAAAACACCATTACATGTGTCTGTTGTGTAAAAGTTTCAGATCACGTTGGGTTGCCTTCCATTGTCGGGTGCCCAGTCTAGGTCCAGGCGAGGTGTAAGTGGGTTTAACGTCGTGTTCAAGCGCTAACATAGCACATGGCCGGTCCTTGTTTTATCCCCTGCATAGCGAGCGTCAGGAAGGGTAACAAGTACTATCTTTTAACGTCTTTTGGTATGACCACGGGGATCGAACCACTGACATTACGCAGACGCTGTATCCACTACACTAGAGGCGGACTCCAGTCCAGGTCAAGACGTTATTATCCCCCGCCACGAAGTGGAAGGGGGATATAGGAATGGGTGCCATACAATATTTCTTCACCAAACTTGGCACATTAATAGGTCTAGTGGTAAACTAGACTGAAAATGGCGGTAGTGCTTGTTTCCGGAGCAGATCTTGAAAACCGCACAGCATTCTGTTATGGTTGAAAGAAAACAGTATCCAGGAACTTTAGCATGGGGCCTCACAATCCACAAGTCTCAAGGTAGCACCTATGAGCAGATGATTGGGAACATGACAATTACTCAAAGAAGTAAACTCAAAGCCCAGCCTGGTCAAGTGTATACGATGCTCAGTAGGGTCAAATCAAGGAAAGGCCTAAAGCTTGTAGGTTTTGCTGAACACAAAATTGTTTTAAACAAAAATGCATTAGATGAGATGACTAGATTGCGGAATGAAAGACTATTCACCTGGACACACCCTTTAGAGAACATTCACGGTGATGGACTCAAGGTGGCTCACTTGAATGTTCGATCCCTCAGTGCTCATTTTGAAAATGTGAAGAATGATACGTTTGTTGGTGTGCTTGATGTTTTGTGTTTTACAGAAACACACATCAATAATTACAGTGAAAGAGACCTGCCAGGATATCAAGTCTATCCAGGAGACACTACACATGGTATTGCTGTGTATGTTTCAACAAGTTTCAAGAACAGTGTCCAGCTATGTGATGTAATGTCATCTCGCAGTATTGAATACATTTCCTTTCTTGTTGGAAAGTTCTGCATTGCTTGTGTGTATGTTCCTCCAAAAGTGTCATGGACACGGTTGTCACATTCACTTACTACCTTCATGCAGAAACTACAGGATCTCTCCAAGCAGCATGAATGTGAACATGTCCTAGTTACTGGGGATTTCAACTGTGATCTGAGTGAAAAACTGAAACTTGAAGATTTCATTAATGTGTGGAAAACGACTCAACTCATCCATTCTCCAACTCACTGTCTTTAAGCTACACTGGATTTGTTGTTTACTGATCATGACAGTGCTCTAGCATTCCAGTCTACTACTCAGATCATCAGATGATTGGTGCTGTACCTCTCAGTACACCTCATGTTGACTACTACTCTCATTGATCTCTAAGTAAAGTAAGAACTCCCTTACTTCTCTGATTATTGTTTAAGTAATAACACAACTCATTACAAATACAACAGTGTTACTGCATCTTAAACATACTCAACTGTATAAACACTGCCTCCTATACTGTATATATTCTTGTCAACCATACTCTGTACAGTCAAGTCCCGTTAATCCGACATCGGTGGTTGCATATGATTATGTCGGATTAACGAGTATGTCGGATAAACGAAATTTAGTAGTATCAACGTTCGTGATCGAAACAAAAAGGTCCAGTGAACAAAGATCTCTGGAGTTAATGCATTGCACACATCCGGACATGTCATATTGGCGGGGGATATGAGTATTTCATGATTGTTATTGGTGCCTTGTCTCAAACAGCAACATTGCCTCTCTCTGTTATTTTTAACTTCTAGATTGACATTATTACATTTTAAACACGTGACCGCATGTATCCAGGTACTAGTATCGGCACAAATGCATTTTTTAATTTGTTCCCCGACCAGTGGATCCGTTTGCATTCCAGTTATCATTCTCAACTCCCTGGTGAGTATACAACCAAAGCTGCACACGGGCGCTTGAGGGTTTTTACATCCACCTCTTATTTCGGGTACCCATTCCCTGCTGGGTGAACAGAGGCACATTTGAACTAAGTCAGTTGCCCAGGGTGACACCACATGTTTACACTTGTGTTTCGGGTGTATGTATGTATTCGTGGTTCCACCATCTGGTCATCTACCATCGGACAAGTGAGTTCTTTGGAGTGCACAGGGTGAATGTAGGGGTAGTGACAACACTGTAAAGACGTGTAACTTGTTGGTATATGAATTAATAAAGGTTTTATCACCATTAAATCATCATTGATGTATACATATCCAAATAGGGCATCGGTGTAGCCTAGTGGTGAACGCGTTCGCTCATCACGCTGAAGGCCCGGTTCGATTCCACATGGGTTCAATGTGTGAAGCCCATTCCAAAAGCGGCGTAAAACCATACTCACTCATATCAAATTGAGATAAACCATGTAAAGGAAATCACGACAAGAGTCGAAAGGTCACGGAAAGGTCCGATCGACTATTCGGCCTCAAACAATTGCGCAAGACAAAATGGTTGACATTTAAAAACGCCATCACCATCAACAATAGGTTGCTTGTACGCAAGCTTAGCCCCATCTGCATGAAGGATCGTGGTTTTTACAAGCTTATATCCATCATCTCATTGCCCTACTATATAACACTGTAAATGTGCATTAGACAGTCCCTAGCAGGTCCAAGTGCACTTACATCATGACATGGTAATGCACCGACGGACAGCCACGGTGGCGAGGCAGCAGTGACCGGAGAAGCTTTGACGTACATCAGAGACCAGTTATCTATTAACTTACATACCAGCTCAGGGTCAGTTGGCGATATGGCATACCAAATGACATATTTTAAAACAAATTACCAATAAAAAAAACATCCCAAAGATCTTTTGCTCGTCAACATATACCACATGACATTAAAATGATACGACAGGACATCACATATATTAATTTTGTTAGAGTTAGTGCATTTATCTATAGATATAAACTCACATCTTATCTATGTAAAGTCTATAGCTTTTTACCATGCTTTTTTGGATATCAAAAGACACTCGGGTGAGATTCTCTATATATTTATGATATTCCAAATCAATTCGATTTTTCTT